CTTTTTTTTTGGACTCTAAAATCTTCATAAATCTCGGAGTATCTGAAAGATTTTCTCCATAATTCCAATAAGTAGAGAATTCTTCAAAAGTTACTGTCTATTTGAATATATCATGACTTATAGAGACTTTTAAAAGTTTCAATTGAATATCCTGTGACTTTTATGGGGGTGTATTCATTTGAAACTTTTAAAAACTTTTGAGGATTTAAAAAGTTTAGGTGTATTCAATTAAAGAAAAAATTTTAAATGTACACAATGAAATCCCGAATCTTGTACACAATGCTGACGTGGCGATAAATTTGAATTCAAAAAAAGGTGTAGTCTGGTCAAAATATCTCTCTCTTTCCTCTCTCTTCATTTCACAAGAAAATGACAATTTCGCTCTCTTTCCTCTCTCTTCAGACGCTCTCTCTCTCTCTCTCTCTCTCTGTATGGGTAGGGTTGATATCACACTTTACAATGAAATTTCACAATTTCTCTTTCCTTACTCTCTCTTTCAGACTCTCTCTCTAAAAAGGGGACGAAATCCCTCTCTGCAACCTTCGATTGGTATTTGGGACGAAGACTTTCGTCAAATAGCCGGCGGCGAGGAGAACGGGAAAGATGACAACATCATAGTATTTCAAATAGCTCCTTCAGGTTGAGATCTGAAACGATTTTTATACCCATTTTTGGTATTATTTTCACATTTTTTTGGTATTATTTTCACTTCTTTTTGGAGCTACTGTATTTGTTTTCATGTACATCTTTAAATTTTTGTCTTCACATGGTAAATGTGGCTGGGAATCTCTCTACACCGCCGGATTTTGTTATTTATTTATTTTCTTTTTACATTAAATGGTATCACAAGTAGTTCATGAGTGGATTTCTTCTCCTTACATCCACTCTTTATAAGAATGTACTTTCAAAACTTCAAATGTAAAGAAAATAAAAGGTTAATTAAAGGCACTATCTACTATGTTTTTTGCACATCTTTCATGTGTGACATTTACTTTTCTTTCAAGAAGCATATATAGTATTTACATTTCATTTTCCCAAATCCTAACTACAAGATATATGGTCAACAAGATTATTTTTACCGTCTTTGATTCGTTAAACTTGAAGTTGGATGAATGATAAAAAATTTCTAATGTCTCTCTTCTTTACTCATATTCGCTATTTTGGCACTTGATTAATTTGTTTTATTGGATTAGGATTGTTCTATGGGTGGCCAAAACAGGGGATTATGTCATTCTTGTAGGATTGCGGGACACATGTTGCCGGAATGTCCAAAAAATATTAAGTGCCCAAACTGTGGCGAGCGCTTCGTTAGGTGGTTGGAGGTAAAAAAGAATTCAGACAATAAAGGGCTGTTGTTCCATAGTTGTACCTACAACTGTCAGCTTTTCAAGCTTTCTAACGTTCCGCCGTATAAAGAGTATTCATTGCAAGGTGAATCAGGTGGTACTACCAACGGAAGTGAACCGGTCGACGATTTGTCTCGTATGTTGACGACATGTGCAAAAATAACCGAGGAGAGAAACTTGGAGATTTCATTCAACATCACCATACGCAAAGGGAAACGAGTTTCGGAAGATGTACAATGAAGTCTATGTAATTGAATCGCTTCGACTTATTGTACTTAAAATTGCAGTGATGGCTGTCTTTGGAGCATATTTTTTGTTAAGGTGTCTTGATCTAGAGCAGTTTTCATTGTGCATAGTGAACTATTACAAGTGTTCTCAATCAAGTTTCATGTTGCAGTAGATTGCTTATTTGGTTGTCTACCCAATTATTCTATTTTACAATTCATGGCATCATTACAATCTTGATCTCATTTTACTCAGTAAACTCGAGTTTCATTGGAAATTCCATCAAACTATTTACCATCATGCACACCATTATGAAATTCCATCTGTTGGCGTGGTGAGTATATTTCATTACATGATTTCTTTAATATGCATTAGCCAGATGCTGCAATTTATCCTCTTGATAGCTATTTTTATTTTACCTTAGTAAAGAGATAAAAGACCTCAGACTCTTTTTATTTTACCTTAGCTATTTTTATTTTTAAAAGTTTATGGACTTTATATGATATCTAATTGATGGAACAACACATTTAATCAAATTCCCCTATTTGCACCAATCAACCCATGGAATGAAAGTTGGTGCAACAATTGAAAACCCATGCAAAATACACATTTAATCCAATTCCCCTAATACACGCTGTTAATATTACTGAGACGAAGAAATGCAACTATGATTCATTGAGTGTTTCAACTGAAAACCCATACTAAATTACAGAAAACCAATGTTGTACCTAATATAAAACTCATCAAAAATATATTACGAAGATTCCACAACAGTCAACTACATCAAATGCTGGAATTTAAAAATCACAACAGTCAACTACATCAAATGCTGGAATTTAAAACATGTACATCAAAAAACAACTCTTACATAAAAATGTGCTGGACTTTTAAACCCCTACATCAAAATCTCCAATGCTCTCCTGCGTGCTGATCTCCTGCGAAATTGGAATTCATTAAAAAATCATTGAAGTGTGGCAAGTCATTGAGGCAAATAAATACAGAACGAAGGGTAGAACCAAAAAGTAGGAAAAGTATGGCAAGTCATTGATACAATATGCTTTGGGTGACCTTCAATTTATAAATGTTTCTTATAGATAAATTTTTTTCAAACACCAATTAAATAGGCAGAAATTGGTTACAAAACTTTTTACAAAAACAAAAGATTATATCATAGAGTGGAGTCAAGTTGCAATGTTAGTGGAGTCAACAGAGGCTCTACAATGTATTTTTAATGCTCTTTGCCGTGTCCAAGCTCAAGATGGTTAAATGATTTTACAATGCCTGAGGTAAATCATCAAGCTGTCCAATAATTTGTCAATTATTTATTACGCTGTTAACATCATTCTTTTCTACCAAGATAAAGGGATTCATCTTGAACAAAGAGAATAGTTAAAAGCAAAGGAACATTGAACATTATATGACCTTGTTTTTCAGGAATATTCTGCTCTTCACTAGTCATAAAAGTTCTAGAAAAATATACAAGAGATCTCGTTGCAACAAGAAGTGCACCTGAAAATTTAATGAGGATGAAACTTTGTCTTTTTGCCTGTTCGATTAAGCTGAGTTTGACATCTGTAAATCATGGAGAACACACTCAGTTCAATCTGTACAGTGATTATCAAAATAAAGAAATCTGCTCGAAATCATACCTTTCGACAGATTTTTGATTTTCTAGAACCAGCTTCTAGACATCCGTTTCGGCGAAGTTTTTTAGGAGCTCCCTTGCTTTTTGTGTATTTAGGGTCCAAGATGATTCCGCTAGCACACTTTCTGGCTTCATCCAAGCGTTGAGAGCCCACGCTACTATACTTCAACATTGAAGAATCATTTGTTTGGATTTCAATCCAGTCCATGATACCACGTGATCATGACTCATCATGTGCTACGAAGCCCACTAACTTCGCAAACGCATTGTATATTTGCTCATATCTAATTTGGTCTGGAGTACTAATCCAACTATCATAAGTAATCAGAACCCTCATATACAATCCGTTCACATCCCTTCTCCATCTCCTTGGAATGTACTTCTTAGGAACTAAGTGCACTCGGTTTCGAATCTAAACCGTTACGCCGTGCTTGCAAATAATTCCTCTGAACTCGAACAGGAGACAACTGCACTCAAACTCACATTCATCTCTACGAAAGCACACTTTAAAGATTGTTGTCTTCATATAGTTGTTCAGAATAATGTCCTCACATACATTGTACGTAATATGCAAGTACGTCTTATGAAGTCCTAAGATGTCACAATACACCTTTCCAGTAAATTGTTCTTGAAACTCCTTGAACTTCGCGATTGTGTAAACTAATTGGAATTGCCTTTCCATTTCGTACCTTGTCGCACATGGGACCATTTTTGAAAATGATTTGAAGTCCGCTTGGAACTCCTTTTTAACTTTACTTCTCAAGGCATTCTCATACTGTTCTACAAACTGCTTCAGAGATGTTTTCGAATGAACATAGCCGTCAAAAAATGCATTAATACCTTCACTCCGTTGCGTGGTTGACATACCGGCCCAAAATGAGGTTTTCAAAAAGCATGGTACCCATCGACCTCTTTCATTATACAAGCTGGTTAACCAAGCATGTTCTAGCAAGTCGTAATCGACGAGCAACTTATTCTATCCTTGTTCAAATTCCTAGTAACTTTGCACATCATATACCAACGCATGAACAGTAGCAAGAATGGAAGCTTTATATCTATGGTCCCAAATTTTTCTGGTAACTTTTTCATAATATGCCACAGACACTATCTATGCTTTGTGTTCGGGAACACAATTTCAATTGCATTTTACATAGCATGGCCTTGATCTGTAATTATCCCACATGGAGCTTGAGCATGCATACTTTCAAGCCAGGTTTCGAATAGCCATACAAAGTTCATCGTGTCTTCATTTGAAAGCAAGCCACATCCAAGTAGAGTTGATTGTCCATGACGGTTTACCCCAACAAAAGGAACGAAAAGCATCTCGCACTTGTTAGTCAAATACGTGGTGTCAAATGTAATTATATCACCGAGTTCCTAGCATGCTTGCCTATACCTATTATCTGCCCAGAACACGTTCCACAGTCGGGCCTCATCATCCAAGTCTATGCTAAAGAAGAAACTAGGACTGCGTGCTTGCATCTTCGTAAAATAAGCTTGTATTGCAAGAGCATCTCCTTCACCCAGTCTTAACCGTCGGACTTTATCAATGAAATTTCTACAATTTTTCTCAACGCACGTAATATTTTCATAACCACCGGCTTCAACACGGCTGAGTTAAAACTCTTATGTAATGGTATATCAGCTACGTTATTTATTTCAAACTGTCTTCTCACACGTACACTGATTTCTCGATTGCAGCGAGATAGCCTTGATTTTGACGGGCTTGTTTTGTGATTATGCTCCAGATGAACAGTGCTAATACGCCATGCGCCACTAAGATCTTAACATGCTGTCAATCTTGCTTTACAGCCCGTTTGCATTTTTGGTTGAAGTTTCAGGATTGAATTTAAGCCACTAGTTCGACGCCCCTCCCGACTACATGTGAAAGTGACATAACGCACAACCCCATCCTCACCCTTCCTTAAATTTCTTTTCCTCACCGGAAATCCAACTTGGTATGCGTAGTTCTTGTAAAATTCGAACACCTCATTCTCATCTTGGAACTTCATTCCAACACTAGGGACAATAATATCAGTTCCTTCTCGTAAACTCATGTCATTCGGATTATCGTCTTCGGATGAAGGGATTTTGAAAATACCCACATTCATGACAGGAGGAACAACAATCAAAATAAGAACTCTTGGAGGGGGATACTGTACATTTTGTAATGGATGTGATTGTACTAAAGAATGAACAACAATCAAAATAAGTCTTTTTTTCAATTATTGGACTAAAGAATGTATTCATCTTTCTAAACTCATGAATATCATCTGATTGCTCCATTAATATGTTCAATTGGTCAATTGCAATCTGGCTCATCTTCAACTGATTCGAATGAACTCCAATTAAGGTCTAATCTCTCCTATTTCACTTCAATTTCATAAAATTCATCTAAATTGAGGTTTACCTATAATTAACATATTGTACACTAGATTAACTATCACTTAATTCACCATAAATAATTTAATAAAAAAGTCATAAATAAGTGAATAATGCGTAATTATCATGCAAATAAATTGTTGGTGCCCAGTGCAATTGACAAAATCCATTCACGCTCTACATTTTGTAATGAATATGATTGTAGAAACTATTGGTCAAAAAATAAAAATTCTTGGATTGACAATACTGTTAGGGAAGAAAATCTAGTGTATCTGGACATATCAAGATTATGAAAAAGAAATGTTACCCATGTTGTTGCCGGAATCGATGTTGCCCCTGTCGGAGTTGCCTCCTTCCATTTCATATTCATCTCTACAATAAATGAGTTTCGGATGAATCACGAACAGTGTAGATAACGGGGTCGGGTTCACCATTACGTCGTCGCCGACATCGATGTTACCGACGGGGTCAGATGGATTTTCCCCTCGTTCCATTTCTCAGTCGCCTTGGGGGGGGGGGGGGGGGATTTGGAAGAGAGGTGAAATGGCGGGCAAATGGTAGGGTCCAGGTTTAACATTTACAAGAAAATCCAATTTTTCAGGTTCAGCGAGACTTTCATTTTCGAAAGGTCAAAATATCGCCACGTCAGATTATGTAAACCATTGTGTGAACCAATGGGTACATGTAGCACTATCCTCAATTAAAACTCTTTAAAAGTTTAAGTGTATTCAATTAGGACATACATAGACTTTTTAAAAGTCTCTAGAAGTCGTGGGGTATTCAGTTAATTTTTTTTAGCAATATCTATAAGTCATGAGGTATTCAAATTGATAGTGATTTTTTGATAATTCTCTACTTGCTAGACTTATAGAGGCTTTTTAGTGAAAAATGTAAATAAAAAATCTCAAAGAAAATCTCTCATATACTTTGAGATTTGTGAAGATTTAAGAGCTAAAAAAAAAGAATGTTTTTTTTTCTTTCAACTTTGGGATTTTCTCATATCTCTTTAATTTATTTGCTTTAAACAATTTATAATTATTCTATGCGTACATGATCCCTTTTGAATTGAAATTATATTTCGAAACATAGAATTCCATATAATCGATCTATTATTTATTATTATTATTTGGTTAAAAACAAAGTGTTCTTAGGAGTTATGTTAATTACGTGAAAAAATTTTGGTTATGTATTCTTAGAAATTGATGTAGAAAAAAATTATTATTTTATTTGCGTCAAAATTGAATGATTGGGCCATGATTAGTGACTTTACTCATAAAAATTTTGCGGGCATCATGATTCTCGATAAATGTTAATTATGTAGTAAGAAAGATTGTAATTTTGCAGGTACATAATGAATTCGCAAGATGAAAAGTATCTAGAAGTCTTTAAAAATCTTCAATCAAAATCTAGAGGGATCCATGAAAGACTTTTATTAATTCTTAACAAATTCAAGAAGTTACTTAAAAGTCCATAAAATCCACAAAAGTCACACACTTAAAAAAGTTTTTAAAAGTCTCAATTGAATATACCTTCCTTAAAAACTTTTTAAAAACTTATAAAAATCTTAATTGAATACACTAAACTTTTAAAGAGTTTTTAAAAATCAAAACTAAATTCTCCTAAATTTTTTAAATCCTCAAAAGTATTTAAAAGTTCCAAATGAATATCCCTAAATTTAATGTCCTCTACCACATGGAAGAATATGCACCTGCCGAGGACCATAATTAGGGAAAATTATTGATACTCTTAAAGACTTGACGAATAGAGGCGAGCACTACTTGTTGTGGAACCTCTTTCTCAAAGGGGGCACGGTACCCATTCATTTCTAAAAACAAAATACTAGCAATTTTTTTTTTTTTGGGTCATATTAATGCTGGGCAATTGCAAGCTCTATAGAAGTTTTTGTTCGTTTGTGTATTCATGTAGTATATATTTTTTTGCAATAAAAAAATATTTTCATAATAAATGTGATTTTAGTTATATACTATATTCATTTAGCCACTATTTGTCACCCATTATTCGAAATTTAAAGAGTTTTGAATAGTAATTTTTTTAAAATGTGTGGTTAAAAAGTAATGAAATTTTATTGATTTGTATATATAATGTTTTATTGTGTAAATGTATGGTGGGGAATAATACCATAGCAAACAATTTAAAATTTTAAACGTTATCAAATAGGGGCTTAACATTGAGCATTCAAATTAAAATGTCTATAATCATGTGTGATAATATAAGTTGTGTGTTTATATTGAGAAGTATAATGTGACACAATTTAATATTTGATCATAAATAATTTGTTTACAATCAGTGCGTAAAGGTTGACATCTTGTATTAGAACGTTGTAGTATTGGCACACTATTTGGGCTTACAATTTGTCACTAATATGGAAATAATTAAAGATAGCATTGGAACAACTGGAGTGTATTGAACGGATTATGTATCAAGTTTAATTCAATATCATGACCCTGTGAATAATTAAATTTCACATATTCGTTGGGTATTTCATTTAAGTCCCCTGACAGTGTTGTATATATCTTTTTATAAGTTTAATAGTTATTTGATTCATCGATTGGTGAAATCCATTTGATTGACCAATTATCTCAATGAGTCGTGAGATTGAGAACGAGTAAAGTAGATAACATGAAGAGAATGAGTAAAGTAGATAACATGAATTTGTGTCGAAAAAATGTCACCTTGAAAATAGGTAAAATGATTACTTGAGTGTTTTTCATTGAACAAGCCTAAATATGTGCTTAGTGTTTAGCAACGGTTTTGTTTTCATTGCCAAAAATAAAAATAAAAAACTGAAAAACATTTTTTCACCAAAACCAAAGGAAAACAAATTCCTTCAAAACCAAGAAAAAGGGACACGTGGGTGGGTAATTGGATAACCAATTCCATTGAATTTTTTGGCCATCAAATATACAATTTTGGGTGGAAATGAATTTATTTATTTATTTTTTTTCATTTTCCATGAAAAACTAAGGCTATCAAATAGGTAATTATCTATAAATTTACATCGCGCCAAAAAAATTTCCTCAACTAAGTGCATGTTTGTCACCCTTTAAAATTTTTAATTGTTTGCTACATTATTATTATCCACCACATTCATATAATAAAATATTCTACACACAAACATATAAAACCAATAAAGTTTATTTACTTTTTAATAACGTAGTTTTCAAAAAATATTATTCAAAACTCTTTAATTTTCCAAATAATGAGTGACAAACATGGCTAAAGATGGGCCCTAAATTAAACTGTAGTGGGTTTCACTTTCTTTTAAATGAAATTTCATGTAACTCAGTTTTTCAAATTACAATTAAAACTAAAAATGATAATTAAATGTTAAATCAAATTTATTAACAATTATGCATAGAAAAATTAATCATGCTATAAGTGCGTACTTGGGAGTTTTTTCCCACTAACTTTGACCGATTTTAGGTGGTGCAATTTATGAGAGAGATAAATTTACCGTTCTTTTAATTTTTGGGACACTAATTTTGAGTTATTTGAAAATCATCCAAAATCAGTATACTGCGACTCGGCTTGTATTTTTCAACCCACCAAATCAATAATTTTTACCCTTTTATAATTTTTCTTTCAATTTTTACACTCTCTGAAATAATTATTTTACAGGACAAAAAATTCAATTATACATAAAACAAATGTTTATAAAATATAAAATACAATGACAAAGAAATTTATTTATAAACAAAAAATTACTTTGTAAGTATAAAATTGTTTATAAAAAGAAAATTAGATAAGACAAAAAACAAGCATCATTTTTATGAAAAAAATTTCTTATAAAGTAAAAAAATTTACTTTTAATATGACAAAAAATTCACTTATAAGTACAAAATTAACTTATAACGGTAAAATACATCCATAAATTAATATTTCATTTTTAAGTAAATATTTAACTTTAATATAAATTACTTATAAGTAAAAAATTTCATAAAATAAATTATAAATCGAAAATTTCAATAAATGATGGACTTATTTACTTTGTATTGTTTAAAGTATTTCCAAGAAACTCTTTAAAATATGAGAAGTTCTCTATTTTAAAGAGTCAATTTTTAAAATTATGCTCCAATAAACTTTTAAAATTAATATTTCAATTGGAATTCACTCTCTATAATTAAATACATTCAAAATGTTTCAATTTTTAAAGTACGAAAATAATAAAATAATCTAAAGAAAAGCCAGGGATAGTAAAATATAGAGAAAAATAATAAATATTTTTTTGGACGTAGTAAAATTAAGTATTAAATATAATGAACTTGTTAGAGTACTTCAAAATTTTAACTTTCTAAATTTTTAGGTACTTTCTAAATGATAAAATATACTTTTTAAAAATTGAGAGTTTATTGGATATGCTCTTAAACATGTTTACCTTTTTATATATGGACACGTGTAATTTTATTCTTTCAAGAAAATGCAACCATTATATAAAAACTCTTAAGAATGTGTTTGATAGTTTTAAAATCGCAACTAAAAATCACTACTGTAACACTATTTATAAAGAAATTAATTGATCGGTTAGATATTCGATAGACAAAAACTCGTTAATTTAAAGAGGGATATCATTTGAACCTATTCCTATAGGATATTTAGAGAATTTACTGTCGTGTTAATATTGTAAATAGACTTTCATTACTGAATATGGTTGTAACCTGCAGTATTGTAATACATTTGATATTAACCATATCATTTGGATCTACTTTAAGTCCTTGTTTGGTAACCATTATTTTAAAACGTTTTTTTTTCATACTTAATTTCAACAACATATTTTCACAATAAAATATTCCTCACGTAAATTCAAAATTTCTTTTTATTTTTTTAATAGCACATTCTCCAAAAGATTACTATTTAAAAACCCATTTAAAAAAAAAGAAAAAGAAAAATTGTTTTCAAATTAAATATACATGAATTTTGAAATATAGGTGATTTACTTAAGGACATGAAACTCAAGAAACTATGTAAAAGTATATAATTAATCATTCATGGTATAACGTTGCAAAATGGTGCAAGTGAGGTGAGTAATAGAGGAAAAAGACACGTGAATTAACAGAGATCGAACAACGTTATATCTTTAATGATCTATTACATTAAATTTCAAGCACTCGAATTTTGTGTATCTTAAAATTAGTAAACAGTCTTTCCACTTAGAAGTCACTAATTGAGGTAGACAATATTTAATATTTATTCGTTTGCAGTCACAAAAATGAGATCCTAGCCCAGCTAACTAAATCAATGAATCTCTTTCTTCTTTGCCAAATTGTGAGTAAATATTTCGGGTATCAAAGATCATAAATCATTTTATTAGAGATATAGAGCCTATATAGAATAATATTAGTCATTGTCACGTGCGTTACACGAATGTTGTATTTATTGTGTTTTTATTAGTGTAGAAATTGTAGATATTAAAAAAAAATGTTGAAGATTTATTGCATTATTCAAGAGTTTTGAGAGCATATTATTGCTTCGCCAATGCTCTATCTATAAAATCCTCATGCATAAACTTATGTTGCAGTTAGTTAAATAAACCTAAAATGAAGAATGCTCATACTGTTTAAAAAACACTATCTTCTAAACCAAAAATTAAAAAATATCTAGTGTACGTGTTTGATTAATTTAGGCAAGTATGTGAAAAAAGCTGAATATATTAGTAATGTCATTATGTTTGAACTGAGTAGTATGAAAATTTTAAGATATTGATAAAAAAACACTTGCACCAAGTCAAGAAAAATATTGGAGGTTTGCGTACATTGTTCTATTCAATTCAATAATCTATCATTTGCGACTCGTCAACTTTCTAAACAATGGGACCCATTTTCTCTATTAAACTTTCATTAGATGCATCACAAAAGAAATTCTAAACAATGACTCATCAACTATACACAGATTATAGGAATATAATTCCAGTTAAGCACTGATTAGTCCAATGATTTTTAGCAAAATTGACGAAAATGTCAAACTCAATCGATCAAAAACTACAGCTTGCAAGAAATCATCACAACCAACTAACATGAAAATGAAACAAGTGGTCTAATATAATTTTTGCTCAATTACAAGTTAGTTGCGTGGGGATGAATCCAAGGATATATGAAAAAACATTTTGATAGATTAGTTTTCAGTTGCATAAGAGTATGATATATGTTTGTAAAAGAGTTGAACAAATGCGGATGCTCGAACTTTTTACTCAGTTGTTGTAACAACATATTCAACATTGACATCATATTCGACAATGAAAAGGTAATTTCAGGAGGCAATTATGTTATATGTCACTCATCCACAGTAAAACATTGTAAAGACACATTAACTTATCGAATCTCCACCGGTAAGGAATTCTTATAATAATTGAATTAAATGAGAAGCATAATGCACATGGACAAGAAAATGAAATAGAAGTATCCACTTTGCGCAGCATTAATATCAAGTTTACTTCATTTAGTATACCATTTAATCACTTTTTTATTCACTTCTTTATACTTTTAATTGAAAAAATTGCCATTGAAATTGATAGCCATTCAATAAAATGATAAGGTACATTGAAACAAAAAAAATCAAACAAGTTTCATCTTCTATTTACTAACTGCAGTAATCCATTATTGCTAATACACGATATCTGAATAGCAATGTAAATTTAATTAACCAATAATTATTCGATATGCTTGCCTTGGGAAGCAAAAAATTTTAACCGCATTCATGTAACTCTTCCATATTCCTTATAAAGCATATAGCCAGTCCAGAAAGTAAACAAGTACTCCGTAGTTATATGGACGAAAAATGTGATATTCACCCATAACAAAGAAACTTAAATGCATTGCAGATGATTAATAAAATGCAATTTAAAAAATATACCTTTACAACTTCAAAATCTAAGGCGTGTGATGTGAAAGCTATTCCAGTAGAAGTGTTTATCCATTCATCTGTAAAAATAAATTCTCAAGAGGTAAAATATCTCGTCTCCCAAATGAAGGACTACATTTAACCTTGGATAGACAAAAGTAGAAAATCTTGTAGGTTAAAGTATAAAAAATAAAAAATAAATGAAAGATTAAAAGAAGAGGTGTGAAGATAGGATAAGAAATATTAAAAAATAGCAGAAAGAGGAAAAGAAAAGCCAAAGTATATATTAAATTTATCATTAAAAACAGAAAAATTACATTAGTCATAATTTAACTCACAAGAAAAAACTAAAAGGAATATACATCTGGCAACCACCGAGCTATAAGATGCCAAAAACTCAAACTTAACATTCAGGAAATTTATTATGACAACTGCAAAAAGAGCATAATAAAATTCCCAAAATTTTAATTACATAATCATTAATGAAAATCAAACATCAACAAGAGGCTTTTTCTATTGTGAAACCGTAAAAGTTTAAAAAAAGAAATTAGGTCAAAACCTCTTTTTGGATCCAAGAAACCAAAGATCCACTACTTCATCTGCCGCAAACACCTTAAGTATAGTAAAACTATCAATACATAGCATGTTGAGAGATAAAATATGAATGGAGCAAAAATTTTACAATTTGGGTGAGAGAGAGGAGTTTGAGAGAAAAAGAAATGGGTTGAAAATTGGAGGAGAGAAGAAAGATAAATGGATGTTGCGTAAACAAGTAGGGAAAATAGATGTTGCATGAAAAAAATAAGGAAAAATAGATACTGCGTAAAGAAATAAAGAAAAGTAGAGAGAGAGAGAGAGAGAGAAAGTGAAAAAAAAAAAAAGAAAAAAAATTACCGATAAAAAAAAAATTTCTCCGCACTCTCCGGAGAGCTTTTTTTTTTTTTTTTTCTCATGTGAGTTTTTATATATTTTGTTGAAGAAGAAGGAAGAATGCTTACGGGCCATCTGGCATTCGTAGAGACAAAACTAATAAGTAATATGAAGAATGCATGTGATTCAATGCAATGTGGAATGAAACACCACACACACAAATGAGGCACAATAAAGATGCATCGACAAACGTGAATGACCCTAAGCACAAATGAAGTAAGATGAAGATATAGACCAAAAACATGTGTGAACACACCTATCATGGCACGTGATGACAAAGAACCAACGACGGAAAGGAAAGAAAGAAATGAGATGCACAAAAAAAAAGAAAACAAAGAGTAAAATAGGTAAGGAATTTCATCGAGCATGTGGCGTGCATCACTTTGTCACACAATTCCAAGCACATATGATATCCAAACACCCATCCAATCATAGTCCCTCAAACTAGAAACGACGTACTTTAAAATGCAACAAACCACACGTCAAACGGATTAACGGAATGCAAGAACGAACGAATTGAAAATGGATGAAAAAACATGTAAACCACATACTTCGAAGAATGAAGAAATCAACAATGCAATGGAAATCGTGATGCACAATGAGGGAAAGAACTCCCAATGAAACAAGGAATGTCGAAGCCACAATTAATTAAGTAACAATCAAGCAAGAATACCAAGGTAAGCCAAACACACGACAAAGAGAAGGAAAAAAAAAAAAAAAAGAAAAAAAATTACCGATAAAAAAAAAATTTCTCCGCACTCTCCGGAGAGTTTTTTTTTTTTTTTTTTCGCTCATGGCAGTTTATATATATTATGTTGAAGAAGAAGGAAAAAATAGATATTGTCTAATTGTGTGGAGAGTGCGCTCAAACTCTCCGCATTGTGCAGAGAAATGGTTCCGCACTCTTCGCATTGTGCGGAGAGGTGAAGAGATGGTCTCCCCACAATGCGTATTTTTTTTGTTGCTCATGGCAGTTTATAGATATTAAAATTATTATATTTTTTAATGGTAATAGCACGAAGCGTGTGGAAGAACATTCATAAACAAAATTCTTTGCCTCATTGCCTTTTTTGTTTTTACTCATGACAGTTTATATATACTATGTTGAAGAAGTAGAGAAAAATAGATATTGCCTAAAAAATGAAGAAAAGTAGGGAGAGCAAGACGTAAAAAAAAAAAAAAAGGAAAAAAAAAAAGAAGAAAAAAATTACCAAAAAAAAGAAAGAAAATCTCTCCGCATTGTGTGGAGAGTGCACTCCAACCCTCCGCACTGTGCGAAGAGAGCTCTTCAACTCCTCGCACTCTGCGGAGAGTGCGCTCCAATTCTTCGCACTGTGTGGAGAGGTCTCTAACTTTTCGCACAGTGCGGAGAGTATATTTTTTTGCTCATGGCAGTTTATATATATTAAAATTATTATTATTTTAATGGTGATGGCACGATGCGTGTGGAAGAAATTCATAAACAAAATTCTTTGCCTCATTGTCGTTTTTATTTTGGCTCATGGTAGTTTATATGTATTATGTTGAAAAAGTAGGAAAAAATTGATATTATCTAAAAAATGGAAAAAAGTAGGGAGAGCGAGAGAGAGTGGAGAAAAAAAAAAAGAAGAAAAAAATTACCAAAAAAAAGAAAATCTCTCCGCACTGTGCGGAGAGTAGACTCCAACTCTCTGCATTGTGTGGAGATTTCTCTCCAACTCTTCGCACTGTGCGGAGTGCGCTCCAACTCTCCGCACAATGTGGAGAGATGACTCCGCACTGTACGGAGAGATGGAGAGATGCCTCCGCACTGTACGGAGAGTTTTTTTTTCTCATAGTAGTTTATATATATTAAAATGATTTTTTTTAATGGTGATGACACGATGCGTGTGAAAAAACATTTGTCAGATCACCATAAACAAAGTTCTTCAAAAAATGCGAAAATGAAAAATGACATCACGCGCAGTAAAATTGGATTAATTTACTGTTGCATCTACAATAGTCCCTCACTGCCCTTTTTATAAGAAGTTGGACATATATAGTTTTTAGCCATTTAGGTGGCCAAAGGAATAATAAATTCGCTTCGACTTTAGTAGACCCAAAGATTCCGGAGAACTCAAAAACCTATTGTCAACAGAGGGAGACAAGCTGCACAGAAAGATTCTAAAATGAGGAATGCTCTTTTATTGATGTAAATTAATATCCCAAGTTGTACCTAATTAATTCACAGACATCACACCCAAACTTCTTAAATTGATAAAAAGCCAAAGTAGATGGTAATAGTAGACAGACAATCTTCTTAGTTATTGCACCCTAGACGAAAGAAGCAATCCAGCAGCATAAACACAATTCTGGTTGTTTCTGAACTTTTCAATTCCCTCAAAATGGTAAGCTCTTAGACGTGGAACTTGATGAAAGGGACTTGAAATGATGAGAAGCAACAAAATCTCGTGGCAAATTAGCCCTCTTCATCATTCTCTTCATGTTATTGTGCAAACTTTGTTGAACTAGTTGCCCGACTGCTTTCCTCTCTTCGCTCAACATATCGTCCTCCCCCTCCAATAATTCGTCCGATTGATGAGTAGGTGAAGGACCGTACAACGGAGCTGACAATCCTGATCCCAACCCTCCCGAAACTTGCTTCCCTTTCTCCACTCTTAAACACTCCAATATCCTTGAAGCTCTTTTTTGTGCCAACGTGCTTCCTAATAATGTCAGTTCAAGAAGGGAGGAGGCAATTCCAGCCTCGATCATTGCTTGCCTGTCTCCATAAGATTTGTGAACTATCACCATAAGAATGTATGATACTTTCTCTTGGCACCCTGGTGAATCCGTCCAATTCAGTACATCAATTAGTATTGGAAAGGCATCGGGCAAAATCCTAATTGCCTTCCTCCCCTCTGCAACAGATACTACGTTGCTAAGTATAGAGAGGATTCTCTCACTTGCATCCACATCTCCCAGCTTGCTCAAGAGAAGTGGTATCAGATCAGTCTCCAGGATCAAAAGCACGTTCGAAGGCAAGATGGAAAGATTGTAGAGTGCTCGCAAAGAGTCCTGTTTAGCTTGAGAACTAATTTGCTCATTGAAATCTTTGAAAGTTTCCACCAAAAATGGGATTGCACCTGAAGAACCAATGATTGGTTTATTCGAGTCGAGTGCACTCAAACCAAGAAAATTAGCTACAATTGCTTCAGCAACAGACTGCTTAGGTGATTCATTTGAAGAATTGACTAGCTTTAGCATCTTGTGGACAGCCCCTGCTTTAACAATAGCAGCTTTGTTTCTGAAGAAGAACAAATTTGACAAAAGTTTGATCAATGACTACATTACAGTCTGTCGTGATAGAATAAAAGACAACAATATCATTTTCATGGCGGAGATATAGATAGCGAAAGAGAAATCAATATCAAGAATGGGGCTAGAAAACAGTTGGAACTGCAAATTAATCCAGACAACACCACAGAAAACAATACTAGAATACATGGAAAACGACATCACCAGACTTGCAGAATTTTTCTCAACGAATAATGTAGGTAAAACGAACAAAAGGAAAAGGAAAATAAGTGAAATGTACAAGCAAAGAAAGTAAAGGGTACCCACGCATCATTGGCAATGGTGAGGTTAAGCAATGCATAAAGGGCGGCGATCTGAGTCTGAGAAGTGGGATCCTCCGCGTCAAGCGCCGCCACGAGCGGCGGAATGACACCCAGAAGAGCTAGAGTGGTCCTTGCCTGAGAATCTTCCTTTGTAAACCTCCTAACATCTGTCGCCCCCTCCAACACATTTATCTTCAGTTCTTCCTCTGAGTTGCTCTCTTGCTGAAGCTTCTTCGCCACTCGTTTTAGCTCCTCCAAGTACTCCTCCTTTTTCCTTATTTCATCCTCACTCTCCCTACACTCCGGTTGCTTCAGAAGCTCCGACAACTTGTTGGATCCGGATTGCCTCTTCTTTTCGGGTTTATTGCTGGGCTTTTGCGGGATTCCGCCGCCGCAGCGAATGGCATTGATGATCTTCCGGCGAAATGAGGCACCGGAAAATGCCGACGAAAGTGTGAAATTCCGATCCAGCTCGACCGATCCGACAACTTTGCCACCTTCAAATTTGCCCATTGTTGCCCAACCCAGACATTTATCTTTTGCCACTCACTCTGGCATTACAGAAACATAAACCCGAACAGAAAATCTACCTGCCCTTTTGACGCAACACTGAAAAAGGAAGAACAGTGCGTGTTTGTGTTTGTGTAAAGAGTTTTTAGTAGTAGCAGCATCTACACCCTCTCATTTTGTCTGCGTCCGATGGAATATATTAGTCCAAACCACAAAGATGTAGCATCATATTTATTTATTAATATGAATTGGGGTAGGGGACATAGGAGACTGAGCGAGTGAGTTAATGGGAACGGTCAATATTTCTTGAAAAGAGAGAGAGAGAGAGCAGTCGGTTACAGTGCGGTGAATTTTTCTGTATAAAAACAAAAGAGAAGGCTAAAAATGCGTGCTGTCTGAGAAGTGGGGTTATATATTTATAGAATTATAGTATAAAATAACACATGGAATAATGGCACAAATGGTCCCTAACCTTCTATTCTTAACGTTGATCCTCTCAATTTCTAGACTTGTGTGCAAAGAGTCCTTTTAGATTGTTTCCATTTATTTTTACCATTTTGATTAAAAGACATTTACAATCTTTACACTTTTATACACTTAAAGGACCGTCTATGCAAAATTTCTTAATCTCATATTTTATTACATTTATAGTCAAAATTTTTTATATTAAAAAGACAAAGAGAAAAATACACGTACAAAGATGACGAAAGAAAAAGAAATATAAATGATTGATTTTTTTTTCAACCATTTTTTTATTTGTAATGGTTGAAATTTATAGTGTTGATATCATTTTTTAACTTTATCATTTGGTATAATTTTAAGCAATTTTCTGCTATTGTTGTCGGTAATATTTCATTATATTTACACTTAGTCTCTGTTTGTTTTTCATTTTTTTCCCATTAAAATGAAAAATATGATCGTTATTCATCATATCAAGCAATCAAATTTGAATTTCTATCTCTTATATGAGGCCATAACGACTATACTTTTCATTCTCATTTTTACAAAAATAGGAAACAAACGCCCCCTTAAAGAGAATTAATACTAAGTTCAACAAAAACTTATTATAAGTCCATACTTCGTACATGTGGACTAGAAAAAAAGAAAAAAATTGTATATTTAATACAATATTTATTATAGATTTTTTTTATTTTTTTTTTAAATTTCACTCTTATCCTTCCAAAGGAGGCTTGTACCTAGATAAATGACAGCGTAGGACTTCACTCTTACTACTTGAACTAGATTTTTAATATATTATGCCAATTGGGATTACATTTTGACTCTACCTTGTGATTTTGGATCTCTCATGTCATCCGTCCCAAGATGTTGAAATGCGCTTTCGATTCCCAAATTTTAGTAAAAGTACTTCTACAAAATTGTATATTTGAGAAAAATATTAAAGTGAAAATCTTAAATAAAAAAGCAATGTCAACGGAAAAAGATAGAACAAAATGAGAAAAACCGTATACCATATTGTAATATAATTACAATACTTAATTACAAGATTTGATGCAAAACGGCTTTTAGCATATAAAACCAATACGTTGAGGCTGTCAGCGCCAAGAATGGAACGTTAGGGACCATTTGCACTTAAGGACTATACATTAGAGACCATTTGTACCAATTTCCCATAATACAATGAAAAACTTTCACGGGCTTGTCTACTTTATTACTGTTTTTAACTTTTAAAAAAAGAACAAGTTGGTCCTTACATTTTATTATCATTACCATTAGAATGAATGTTCAAACATTTAATGATAATTTAGATGATTTCGTTCAATATTAGTTTCAATATTCGACTCAAAAAATCACTTTTCATAAGGGGCTTAATGAAAATTTGGATGATTTCAATTCAATTCTAGTTTCAACATTAGATTTGAGACAGTTTTCAAGATAGCCATACAAATATTTAGCCCTTGTTTGAATTATATTTCCCTGCACTTATTATTATTTTTAAAAATCGTTTTTCACATTTTTTCCATAAAATAATATTATATATAAATTCAAAAATTTTTTTTCCCAACTTTTAACCACATACTCCCAAAAATAAATATTAGAAAACCTATTTTCTAAAAAAAGGGAAAATGGGGGATCAAACACACCCTTAGACGGTCTAAATCAATATACCATCCCAAGGGGAAGAGATGAAGAAAAGCTATTAAAGTTTGTTGTGGGGGTAGATGAAATGAGTAAAAAGGAAATAATTGAGGAAGAGTAAAGGAAGGCCAAATGCTGCCCTACACAAACATATGTATGTAGTACATGGATTTATTGTTGGTGCGGTGCACTGCATACTATTTATTTATTTATTTTGCACTGCTTCCCATTCCCATTCCCATGTAACTCAATCAATGTAAGATGAATATATTTGTACAAAATCTTGTTCACAAAATTAGCGGACCCCATGTGAATTTGAAAAATGTCGACTTGTGGTCACCACCCTCATTGTGAGTAAAGGAATTTGTAAAAAAAAAAATTGTACATGTAATATGGTCCATCAATGTAACTCACTCTCAGACCCTCCACTCCATCTAACTGATCATTTGCTTCCCAATAAATATCCGTACTTTTCTTCCTTTGCCCTTTTCCTATTTTCTACAGTAACACCAACTAATTTACACTTTTAAAGTTTGTAATTACTTATTAATCCAAATCCACGTGGACCCACCAATAATTTGGTGTTCCATCACGTTTGAATTATTAAAAAATTTATTGTCCCTTCAATTGCATCTGAGGTGACGTCTATTCTTGGGTGGCATGGGGAACGATCCCTGTTCCTCTTCATTTTCTTTGGATAGTGAAACTATTTGGTTGGATTTGATTTGAGAATAAGCTACCCTTTCTTGAAATCTTCAGTTTCATTACCAATGCCGAGGACCCATACTCCAGTATTCATTAATTCGTAGGTCAACAGCATGGCCCAACCAATAGATTTAGAGGGTCCAACGGATCACATCCATGTTTTGCTCGTAAGAAAAGCCTTTGTATCGTTCATCAATATAACCACCTTTACTTCAATTTATGGTGCAGATATTTACAGTCATTGACCGTTCCTCATTTCCAGAGTCTGGTAGTTTCATGCATGCTCAAAGGACATTTACCCCTGCTACATAAACCTAGATACGAGCCAAAACTAATTACTTTGAGGCAGGCAGATAAATGACTCAATTTTCTGAAAAATTACAACCCCATTACTTAAAAAACTCATCAACATGAAGAAGAGACATTAGAATGCGATTCAGCATCACCTAAATACAAAGAAGCACATTTGAACTCTTCTTATTTACACCTCAAAAAACGAAATACTAGTCATTGGCAACCATGGCATAATTTTCAATTCTCTTGATGCACAATCTACTTTGGGGACGGAGGTCTTTACCACCCGGGACAACGTCAATGATAAGCGAGTCTTCTTCCTTAAAGTCCCCTCTTAAGATTCCCATTGCAATCTCATTCTCAACCGTCTGTTGAATCACCCGCTTCACAGGTCTTGCTCCAAAGTTCGGATCAAAGCCCAACGTTCCGAGAAGATTGACGGCTTCCTCCGTGTAATGGAAATCAATTTTCCGTTGTTTAAGTCTGTCCTTCACACGATTAAGCTGCAGTCGCAATATATTAATAATGTTAGTGAACCACATGGAGACATTTTATTCTCGATGATTATAATAGCAATTAGCATAGTAAAAATAAAATAGACAAGAATCCAGAAATGAGCAGTGCACGCCATGATATTAATGGCAATGGCCTAAACCTCAGGGGTACACCTAATTGATGTCCAGAAAGAATGCGCTTCATGAGAATATAGAATCAAGCAACACTTGAGAAAACAACTGCAAAATATGAGCTAGAACATCTTCAACAAAGAAAATAGAATAATAATAATATGGAAACTGGCAATCAAGTATTTAGAAAACATAAAAAGTTATTTGAACAAGGTTAAACCCAGGCAAGCAGCAGAGGCCAGTTCTTAGTGGGTAAAGAAGTCAAACTGAGCAGCAACCTTATTTTGTCGACAATATCAGCCAAGTACTGCTTACCATGACATGTTCACTTTTTTATTATCAAGTGTGAAAAGAATTATACGCCCACACATGTACATATAACAGAGTTTTTTCTACTTCATATTGTCTGCAGGTGATGCCATGGTGAGGCAATCAGAAACTAATCATCGCCAAAAGAAAAGTATTTGAAAGTAACTTTAAAGAAGAGAATTGTAAAGTTTAAAAGGAATTTAACAATCTTGATGACAAGGCTTTGTTACCTGGATTTCAACAATTTTGCGGATTTGTGTGGAGTCCAGAGGTTGGAAAACAATGTACTCATCGATCCGATTCATGAACTCTGGCTTAAAAGTTTGTCTTGCCAACTCGACCACTTGGGTTTTCATCGCTTCATAAACTGCATCCTTGCTATCCTGGGAGCTTCTAAGGGTTTCGAGGATATAATGAGATCCAATGTTTGATGTCATAATCACAACAGTGTTGGTGAAACTAACTGTTCGCCCTTGTGAATCTGTTATTCTTCCATCATCTAACAACTGTAATAGGATGTTGAAAACATCGTGATGTGCCTTCTCGATTTCATCAAACAACACAACACAATAAGGCCTTCGCCGGACTACTTCTGTCAGCTGCCCACCTTCTTCATAACCCACATAACCTGGTGGTGCACCAACCAACCGGGAAACTGCATGTTTTTCCATATATTCACTCATATCAATGCGCACAAGAGCATTTTCAGTGTTGAAAAGGTATCCAGCAAGGGCTTTTGCAAGCTCAGTTTTACCAACCCCCGTGGGTCCCATGAACATGAAGCTTGCAATAGGACGGTTTGGATCAGACAGGCCAGCCCTAGAACGTCTTATTGCATCAGCTACNTTTAGACATCCAACAATACTCTTCACTGATCACCACCCCATCCCCAAACCCCCTGCAATTTTAAAGAATAAAGGCTTTTCAATGATTAAATAAATGAATACAAAAATGATAATTTTTGGAAAAAGACGAAACAGAAGATAATTTCAAAATCTGGAAAATAAAGTTATTTTCTACCTTTGTCAGGTAGGAAACGGCCAGTAATGTATCGATCCGAAAGAATTGCCGCTGAAACAAGAGCGCTATCTGATATCTTGACCCCATGATGCAGCTCATATCGTTCGCGCAATCCACGCAGGATTGAAATTGTGTCTTCCACAGATGGCTGGGAACAAAATACTTGTTGAAACCTACGCTCCAGCGCAGGGTCCTTCTCAATGTACTTTCTGTATTCATTTAGTGTAGTTGCCCCAATGCACCTGAGTTCCCCCCGGCCAAGCATAGGTTTCAACAAATTTCCAGCATCCATAGCTCCACCAGTAGCCCCTGAATATAAATTATAGCTTAGCATCATCGAGAACGAAATAAATCAACTAATCAAGATATGAAACTTATACACAGCAAAGATTCTCTAAAGTAGAAAATTTAAGTCAACCTGCACCCACTACAGTGTGAATCTCATCTATAAACAAAATAATCTGTCCATTTGAAGCGCTAACTTCCTTCAATACAGCTTTTAACCTTTCCTCAAAATCCCCACGATACTTGGCACCAGCAAGCAAAGAACCCATGTCCAGAGAGATCAACTGGATATACAAACACAATAACCCCATCATTTAATTAGAATCATGCAGAACGAGAAGATAAGGGGTTAAACTCAAATGACAAGACTAAAACAATAAATACTTGAGCTCAACTAATAAGAAAATACCAATTTGATTACATATAAATAGGTTAAAAACATTAAAATAATCACAACAACAGAAATAAAGTGTGTTCAGCTAGTAGGGCTACTTATCACCAACTAAATTCCAATAACTATCATAAATGAACCTAAGTAAAATTATTACTAGATCGAAATTTCAGTTAAGAACTTCACCTCCCTTGTAGAGCTAATTGGTGATACCTTGAAGATTTTATAGAAATTTCAACACCAACTATTGATTAAGATTTGATTTTATAGAAATTTCAACACCAACTATTGATTAAGATTTAAAAAAAGAACTCACATGCTCCCAGCACTAAAATATTTCGAACAAAACTTGTTCCTGACTTGAACTGACAATATGCATGCACAATTGACTTGAAACAAAATAAAAAAATGCATATTTACAACAAAAAATCTTGAGACAATTTACTAGATTAATAGCAAAGAGACGCAAACTCATATGTTATGCAGAGTCACAAGAGACAATTGCGCGACAGACTTCTAGGTAAAAATCTCAGGGAAAATATTTGGTAGCAGACAAACTGCCATACACTGCCTTATCAAGAGCATAGTGATCATGCAAGCCTGCAACAGGTAATTAATTGGACAAGTTTACATTAATAACCTAAGAAGATAAACTAGCATAATCTTGGATAAATTGCAAAGATAAATCTTCAAGAGACAAGACTATTCACATGCGATAAACAATAAGTGATCAGGAAAATAACCTTCCGATTCAATAGAGGTTCTGGAACATCTCCACGGACAATTCGCTGAGCTAACCTGAAAAATACAGGCAATTTCAGTCTAGAATCCCAAGCAATTGAACAGAAAATTAAAGATGTTGTGTTGAATTTAATTGTATTGATCAGAAAGAGAATTGATGTTATATTGCCTAATTGAAAACACAAAATGAAAATACAAGAATTGGCAAAATATTCGAGATCTGCCCACTCTCTCACTTCATTCTAATCTCTCCATGAAAGCTTGAAATGTGACCTACCCTCCTTTTATTCTTCGACATCTACTTGGAAATACCCATACTACCCTCCACATAACTAATGGTAAAAATTAATTCTCTCCATCTAAGCAGACATCTAAGTAACCTGGCTAATCACAGTACAGGGCGACAAACACGTACAGAAGCTAGAGAACCAAGACGTTATGGTAACAAATGCAGCTATCCCGATTTCTTTTATTGTTCATCACAAATACAATTCACACAGTCAGTACAACATTGATTCAGTAATGGTTGAGCCACTTACTTTTGTTTTATTTTTAGCAAAATTTTCACCGTAATTCATATATCTGCTACCGAGAGACCTTATTCCAGCTAAGGTTTCGGCTAGGTTAGTCCTGTAAAGATTTCACAAGGCAATGATCTGTAAAAGACAATCTTAGACAGTTTTTCTAATTCTTACTATATTGTTATCAATTATTTTCAATCTTTCTCCTAATCTCAGCCTGCACACTCATCCTCACTCTTATAATGCAAGCAACAGTAGAGATTGAATGAATTGATTTCTTTCTTGTCAATCATCCTTATATTGAAGGATAAACCAGACCACAATTTACACCTGGAAACGTAAAGGGAGTCTGTAAAGGGAGTCTGTAGAATGCCTTATAATCCAAACTCTAGTCTTGACGTGTTCATTATCTTCTATCAAAATTAAATTACTTAGGGATATCTTACATTCCTAAATAAAAAATAAAAATAAGCTAGTAAACAAGTGAAATTATACACTGCTTTCTCAGGATACAATTCGAAACACCCTTATATGAATGGCAACCAGATCATTAGACTCCACAAATGTAAATTATTTAAGATCGTACCCTTCAGCAATTGCAGTTTTCCCTACTCCTGGCTCACCAATGATAACAGGATTATTCTTTGTCCTCCGAGATAATATTTGGATGCATCGCCGTATTTCATCATCACGTCCAATAACCGGATCAAGTTTACCACGTCTCGCAAGTTCAGTCAAGTCATTCCCATATTTTTCAAGTGCCTCATATTTACCTTCTGGGTCTATACAACAAAAATGCGAGAAACGTATTGATAAAAATAAATAAATAAATATTGTCGGTATACGGTTGGAGTAAGGAGTAAGGGGTGTAAAGATGGTGACTCTACTATAGTTAACAACTCCAACATGAAAAAAGAGAGGAAGACGACCTTAATATGTGTCATCACATAAAATGCTGAATAAGTCCAACGTGAAATAATTTACCTGAATGGTAACTGTTACAAATTTCCATTTCTCTGAACATGATAGAAAAATTATGTTCTTGGTATACGAATTGGCAATGAGAAGAGAGGAAAGTGCCTTACTGCAGTAACCTAAGCTCTTTGACCAGCAAGAAGTCTCGACTTCTTATCAATTTTATAATCTCAGGTAAAATAATTAATTCTGTCAAACTCTTACCTTAAAGTTCAAAAATGAAATGAAAATTCACACATTATTCTTCTTTAATTAACCATTGTGTATTTGTTCATTAAAAAATATACTTGGTAGAAAGTGCGTTTGACTCATTTTTATTAATTGGTTACTAAATTTATGTTTTTCACTTCTCTTGAGTGTTCTGATGGCGACTCCAGCTTCTCTAGAATGATGGGAACGTTCAAAATTCTTAAAAGTTTTCACTTTGACTCAAGTTTCACTACTTTCTTTTCATGAAGCATAACCAATAGAATTTAAAGGTAGGAGTTTTACACAAGTTCATAGACTCAAAAACCACGAAATATCTTTCACGTCCTTCTAACAGAGAATTATTCAAATTCACAATGTTGATGAGAACTCCTATGCCTTTTCTCTCTTACAGGAATCTTTACTCTCATTAATTCAATTACATTTTACGTAACATCCAAAGTTCAGATTTCAGCATCCCATCATACACTTGATTAATTAATTTGTAGCACCAACTTGTCATTGACGATGGAATATTTATTTCCACTCACTACTTTTCTCTCCCAAAAGAAGATACCTTCCACTGCCCACTTCTTTTAGCAGACTTAATTGCTATCATATTAACTACAGCCTACAAGTATGAAACTTGTACCAATGGCAGGTCAGTACATACTCTGATCAGATACTCTTTGACCACCACGAACAGCTTGTACAGCTTCCTTCAATGCCTTCTCACTTAGATTCATATTTGAAAATAATTGTTGCCCAAACCTCTTATCGGAGGGAAATGCCAACAATAGATGCTCCACAGAGACAAAGGAATCCCCCATTTCTTTCTTATGCTTTCGTGCCTTATCCAAGAGAGAACCAAGATGAGAACCCACAATGGGTCCACTAGTTTCACCTGTCACCTGCCAACAGAAGATATGATCAAGTTTTCAAGGAGACTACTACTGACAGTGTAAAGCAAATCCATGTTTAAAGCTCATACCTTTGGTTGCAGTGATATAAAGTCGTTTGTGGCTTCCAGAAGTGTTGAGTTATCAACCCCAGCCTTGGTGAATATTCTCCTTGCCAACCCATCCTTCTGCTCCAATAGGGCTTTCATTAGATGCTCAGTTTCCACTACTTGTTGTTTACTCTCCCTTGCTGCATCGACGGCACCGATGACTCCCTCCCATGCCATCTCAGTAAACTCTGAATTGCTAATCTGCCAAGTAAATATCATTGTAATATACAATTCCAATGTAAGAAATTAGAGAAAAAGGTCAAAAACCAACACTAAAAGGATAAAGAAAAACTCCATACATGACGAAAGGAACTATCTAAACACACAAGATTATAAATTTTCTAGTACATACTAAAATTATTCTAACGAACCAGATTCGAAGAACCCCCTATCCTGCTATTTATTTTATAGGAATAATGTATGCTGGTCAATCCCAATCACAATTCCCTAACCTCTCCAGTCTTTACACTCATTATCGAGGCTCAACAATAGGCCCCTTCCATCCTTCTCACCTTGAAGATTGTTACCTTCATGAAAACATTTTGCACTTGGGAAATGCAAATACATTTCATGCTCTTAACATTCCAGAAACCCAATTTTGACAAGCAGAAGTCCATTAATAATCTAGACGTAGCCCTTGTTTGAGCCACATTAATTTTATAAGAATGTATTTTGAATAGTGTATTAATGAAAAATGTGTGGTTAAAAAATAAGGAAAAGTTTTGAATTTGCGTGTAATATTATTTTATTGAAAAATGTGTGGTTGAAATGATGTCAAATCACTGTTTAAGGATGTATTTTTTTTAAAGAATGTGGGTCAAACGGCATGGTAGTGTTTGATGTACAAAATGGCATTAGCACGTTTACATCCGTGCCAAGACTTCACTAAGAAAGAAACTCGCACAGCAACAGTAAGAAGACAAATCAAATAAATAAATTTGACCATATGTAGCCACTCGAAAGCACCGGCACATCATAGACAAGGAGTTCATTTAAAATGGTAAAGGGGCTCCAACAACAATTAACAGTAAGGAAATAAAATTAGTTTGTGCTTATTAAAATTTGGGTATGACCCGAATTCTATTGGGAATTTAATTGGGAGTTCTATTAAGAGTTGGTAGTATGACTCGAAGAAGTCTTGAAAGAGTCGAAAACGAATAAAGAGAAAGGCTTTGCGATTTTGGTAGTTTTTTCCTCTCCTATTCCAACTCAAATACTTCATTTGTTAGACCTATTATATTGTGATTTCACCTTATATTAGACTCTTCATTGTATTATATTGTATTCTAGTCTTCTAGCGTTTGGGATTCTTTGATTATATATATATAGGTGGTGAGATTGACCATTGTCCAACTTATTAGTTTGGTCCAGGAACAGCCTTTGCAATCCTCCATTATTAATTATTAGTGAATTATCCTACTCTGCCCGTAGTGTTTTCCTACTTGAGTTTCCAGGTAAATCTTGGGTTCTTGTAGCCCATTATCTCATCTTTAATATTCATAACAAATGGCTCAATTTCTAACAGTGCTCGCAGATTGAAAGGCCAATTTCTGTGCATTACAGGCACGGAAACATAATAAAACGGAAGACATACATACCTGGCCGGAGGCAGCAGCAGATGCGGAGTAAAAGCGGCTGAAATTTTGCGTCGAAACCAGACTTGATGAGAAGTCAGTAGGAATGGTTGGAGCTCCAAATCCACAAGCACCATTGGTGCGAGTGAGAAAGGTTGGGTTTCGAGAAGAAAGTATTTCAGAAGAGCGATGAGAGAGTGCGAGGTCTTGAGAACGATAGCGAGAGGCCCTCAGAGCGGCCACGGCGGACCTGCTCAGCCTCAGCGCAGAGGAGGTTCTCGAAGTTGCCATCAACGAAAAATAAAAATCCAAAGTGTAAGAAGTTTTATTCCTTCAATTTGAGTTTGGGGTATAGTATTATATTTGGGATTTCGAGCTGAAAGCGAAAGGGAAGTGAAGCTTGAGGAAGAGGCAAATGCCGCAAACTGTAGAAGTATGTAGAACTTACACTCAAAATTTCTTTTCGCTTTTTCCTTATTTTTTTTATTTTTATTTTGCTTTTATTTTTATTTTTTAGAGATATCTCAAAATTCTCTAGTTTTCACTTTTAAGGGTATTTTTTTTCATCTTGAGCCACAAATTACGGTTTCAATTGGGATTGTTTTTCAATATTGCCCTGGTCAAGTTTTTAAAGCTCTCTATCAAATTCAGCGTAGCAGAAAACCAAAATTATACGTGAAACTATTAGATGTACAATTAACATTACTTTGAGTTTCAAGTGTATTAAGATGTATTAAAAGTGTAGTGATTCATTTTGTTATAAAATTTTACTCTATATATATACACGTATATATTAAATCTACAAATTTATTCAATCATTTGAAAAGTAATTTAATTTTGTTCATCTTTATTTAAATTGTAAAATAAATAGAAAAACAGTCTAACCCGAATCGTGCATCATAGGAGATGTAACGGGACAAAACACTTTGTCAGCATGTTGCACTTGGTCTGGTGTTGGAACCATACTCATTGCGATGGCTTTGGCACGAGCATTGTCTACCCCATGTTGATGCTGTTGTCGGAAATTCGACTAACGCAATCAAAAGAAGAAATAAAATAAGCAAAAAAATAGACAGTAAATGAAGCGAGGTATGCCAATAAAGTAAGCAAATCTCCTTAAGACAGATTTCGCCCCCCCAATGAAGTGCAAACGAGATTATGGACGTCTGTCTCCCAAGATACAACGCTCCTTCCAAAGTCGATACTGCACAATACCAACCTTATCGGTCGAACCAACGAATAATCGTACTTGAACGGAATAACGACGGAAGTATAAGAGATTTTTTACGAGCAGAATATGGAGATAGAAGAATTTAGAAATCAATTGAATTCTAATTGATTTGGTGTGTCAAAAAACGAATCTGGGGGTCCCTATTTATAGAGATTGAAATGTCTCATGGAACAGGTGTGTGACATTTCAGGAACTGGTGCACCACTTGGTCTGATTCGTCTTAGCCATTGGATCGCACTATTTTTATGATCTGACGGCCCAGATTGAACCATGAAGTGAAGTGTCCATTCATCATGCCTATTCACCAATTTCTGAACAGTCACAGCCATACGGATGCCACGCGTACATCTAACCGCCATGCAGGACGAAGGGACGCGACCTACCACTCGTGCACCACCTAGAATGCCAACTCATCGAGCCTTGTGCTGCCACGTCATCGAACCACGAGTCCATTTCTGAAAACTATAAGGCTCCCCAGCTCCTCGCGACGATGCGTACGTGCGAAGTGCCAAGTGCGCCTCTAAAGCGCCCAATACGTACTTTGCGACGTGCGCGTGCCGGGATCGGGACCGGGTCCGGGGAACGGCGCTAGTAGTGCGAAGCACCACTCTAGTGGTGACTAGCCTTTGGCTAGTTTGATAGCCTTTGGCTAGCTAAAGTTAGCCAAGTGGTAGGTAACATATTAAATTATATATTATTTACACAACCCACTATATAAACAAGACTATTTTCTTGTAAACTTTCGATGTGGGACTCCTTTCCATATAAAAACCACTTAAAATGGGCTTATCAACATATGGGCCTATATTGGAGACTTTTCCAATTCACTCAAATTAATTGCAATGGCCCATATCATTAAATATTACATTTAATATTTTAAACCCAAATCAAACCCAAATCAAATTCAGTTAATTCCAACAATCCCCCACATGAATGGAAGAAGTCGACTCAAATCAAGGAAGAAGAAAGAAGAGTACTATCTGAAAGATAACGCATCAAGATAGGTAGCTTTCGCTTTGAACCTTCTTTAGTAAGAATCTATCGAACTCACTTGGCTAATCAGTGAACGCAACGTTTTGAACTGTCAGCCGTTATTGCAAGCTCAGACAACAGACCAAACACATTATCTCTCATATCAAACTTGGTTCTCTATTGTGTTCATTATTTCGGCCCTGAACTACTTGGGTTCTGCGAGTGCTTTAGAGAATTCGCCCAAGTAAATTCTCATAGAACCGGCCAAGTTCGCACTAACATAGGTGATGCACTATAAAGAGTACCCTACTATAATTACTTGTCCAATTTATAGTCATCATTAAAAACAAAGCTTATCCTTAATACACTTCATAGCACTTTTTGCATCATAGAAATGGGAAGGAGTTAAACTCCTAAGTGCTTCTTATCGAGTCATTCATAATTAGTTTTCCTATTGAACCTAGTCCATGGGATCTCCAGTTGCCAGGTTAGGTTTCCACTAAGATGACTCATTGGGTTTTAGGCTTTAAACCCATTTCCCTCGATGCGCAGTCTATACGCTCTCTAGATAACCCTTTAGTGAACGGATCCACTAGGTTTTTTTTTGACTTAACAAAATCAATTGATATTGTTCCATTTGAGAGCAACTGCCGAACGGTGTTATGTCTGCGACGTATATGTCTCGACTTACCGTTATACACAAAATTTTCAGCCCTGGCTATTGTGGCTTGGTTATCACAATGAATACAGATAGCCGGTACAGGCTTTGGCCATATAGGAATATCTTCTATGAAATGTCTTAACCATTCTGCTTCTTCTCCTGCTTTGTCTAAAGCAATAAATTCAGATTCCATAGTAGATCGAGCTATACACGTTTGCTTAGAAGATTTCCATGATATAGCGCCACCACCGAGAGTAAATACATAGCCACTGGTAGACTTTGAATCGTCTGTATCTGATATCCAATTGGCATCACTATATCCTTCAATTACTGGAGGATATTTTCCATAATGTAATGAATACTCTCTGGTCCGTTTCAAGTATCCCAAAACTCTAAGTAATGCATCCCAATGTTGATTACTTGGATTACTTGTGTAACGACTCAGCTTACTTACCGAGTAAGCTATATCAGGTCTTGTACAATTCATCAGGTACATTAAACTACCAATAATTTGGGAATATTCTAACTGCTGTTTCCCATTTCCACTATTCTTGTGAAGAACTCTATGTGGAAGAAATGTGTTACTCATCTCTTTAATATTATGAGTTTTAAACCTCTCAATTATTTTATCAACATAATGGGTTTGAGATAAGACTATTCCATTTGATGTTCTAGATAACTTTATTCCTAGAATCACGTCTGCTTCACCCATATCTTTCATGTCAAAGTTATTGGTAAGTATATTCTTTGTTCTATTGATGACTTCTATATTAGTCCCTAATATAAGCATGTCATCAACATACAAACAGACGAGTACGTATGCCTTTTCGAATTTTTTCGAATATACGCATTTGTCACATCCATTTATGACGAATCCATTCCTAATCATGACGCTGTCAAACTTTTCGTGCCACTGTTTAGGAGCTTGCTTCAAACCGTATAAGGACTTAACTAGTTTGCAAACTTTGTTTTCTTGTCCTTTCACTATGAAACCTTCTGACTGTTCCATATATACTTCTTCGTTTAAATCACCATTCAGGAATGCAGTCTTAACATCCATTTGATGTATTTGTAAGTTGTACAAGGCTGCAGTAGCAATTAAAACCCGAATAGAAGTAATTCTTGTTACTGGAGAATATGTGTCAAAGAAATCAATTCCTTCTTTCTGACGATATCCTTTTGCAACCAGTCGAGCCTTGTATTTGTCTATTGAACCATCAGATCTTAACTTTCTTTTAAAGATCCATTTGCATCCTATTGGTTTAGTTCCCTTAGGAAGATCAACCAATTGCCAAGTATTATTATTCATAATAGATTCAATTTCACTATTTATAGCTTCCTTCCAGAATACGGATTCTGGACTAGTCACAGCTTCTTTAAATGTTTGGGGCTCTTTCTCAATTACGAAAGAAATAAAGTCTGGACCAAAGGATTTAGCGACCTTTGCTCTTTTACTCCTTCTTGATTCAGGTTCTATATTGTTTTCAATAGCATTATCTCGTGTTCTCTTTAGAGTATTCTCATGAATATCTCTTTTATTAGGGAACACATCTTCAAAGAATTCAGCATCTCGAGATTCAAAAATTGTATTGACATGAATGTCACTTATATCAGATTTATGCACAAGAAATCTGTACGCACTACTATTTATGTGGATACAGATATGTGGATTTTTTTGTCCACTACAACAGCATTGGCCTTAAATAGACCATCAAGTAAATAACCCTTCCCAACATACATGCCCCCCTTAGTAAGTACAAATCTATCAGATTCAAACACCATTTTAAATCTTTTCTTACTAAGAATAGCTCCTGAAATCAAATTCTTTCTGATATCTGGGACATGTACAACTTCATTAAGCGTCAGTTCCTTCCCCGATGTGAATTTCAGAATAACCTTTCCAATCTCTTCAATATTGGATGTTGTAGAATTTTCCATGTAAAGACACTCATTATGATTCAAGGTCTTATATTCAGCGAATAGACCCTTATCTGCACAGATGTGACGAGTGGCTCCTGTGTCCAACCACCAATCCTTGGCATTAGATACCAAATTAACTTCAGAAACAATAGCAGATAAGTTGATGTCTTCAACATCTGTAGAAATTTTATCCACTTCGGTTATATTGGCTTGGGGCGGTTTCTTTTTCTGCGTATCCTTCTTTTTGCTTTGACAGTCTTTAGCCCGATGTCCCGGCTTCCCGCAGGTATAACAGTTGCCTTTGAACCGTTTTGCATTGTTGACTTTTTCTTTGTCCATAGATGAGCCAGAACGCTTCCTTTTCTTGTTCTTAGACCCCGAGTCTTCTACCATGTTAGCCTTTGCTTCCATGTTGCGGACATTATTCTTCTTTTCTGCAGCCTGGTTGTCTTCTTCAATGCGAAGTCGAACAATTAGATCCTCCATCGTCATCTCTTTGCGTTTATGCTTGAGATAGTTTTTGAAATCTTTCCATAGTGGAGGTAGTTTCTCGATCATAGCAGCTATTTGGAAAGATTCACTTAAAGTCATACCTTCAGCTTCAATATCGTGAAGTAGAACTT